ATAATATTTTTCTGCTTTTAGGTCTCGAAAGCTGATAACAATCGTATAACAGGTATGAAGTTAGCTGAACTAACTTCTAAAAAAGTGACTTCTTTGGGAAGAGAAACGATCGAAATTTTGATCGCGAAACTGATCCTTGACAAGTATTTGGAAGTAAGTTTTAGGATGGAAGGAGTTCGTAATGATGGACCGTTGATAATATTGATGCACGGTAACAGTAGAGATTTGTTTTTTTAGTTTGATGTTTACTTAACAGAAGTGTTGACTCACAACTCTGAACTTTTCTTTTAGGAGCATTTTCATTATACGCCCTACTCAATTATTAGTTACGTTGTACTCGGCGAAAGGAGCACCATTTTGAAACATAATCCGAAACATCAGATTGAATATCCAATTCCTTCGAATTCATTAACGTTGAGTAAGAAGCAGAAACCAGTCTCACGCAAGAGGCCTCTTGTTATTGATGATGACGATGTCGTTATCTGATTGTGAAAATACTGTTTACCTGTATTTCACTTTCTGTTAATTTTTTACTGTAGTGTGCTTTTTTCACTTTTCATGTTGTTCACATTGTTAATTGGCTTTTCATACCACGCAGAAGCTGTCATGTATAAACCGTGTAATCATTATCATATTTGTCATCGAATAAGTATTTATTGGATATGAGCATTCTGATGCAAGAATTCTGCCGGATAAATCCTTTAGTTATTGCATGTTTTAGGTCGGCCTTAAAAATTTTTTATTAAGTTGCTGTAGAAGACAAAGTTCAGTTCTTGTTCTTATTGAAAGGCATTTGAATGCTTTTTTGGTTGTGTGTGAACCTACTAGTGATAGGTATTGTGAAGCTACTAATTGACTTCAGTTTGTGAAATAGGTGGAAAGTCTGTGGTGGGAAAACTGAATGAGTTTGCCACCGAGAGCAGATTCTGAAAAAGTTTGCATAAATTTGATAAAACTCTATTTTCAACTCTTCTTAGACGTCGCCATTTTGAGTCTCATTTTACTACTACAACAGGTTCTCCTCTTATAGAA